TATTTTAGAAAAATAATTAAAAATTTTTTTTTTTTCATTTCAGAGAGGAAGGAAGAGGGAGAGAGAGAGAAACATCCATGATGAGAGAGAATCATGGATCGGCTGCCTTCTGCATGCCCCGCACTGGGGATTGAGCCCACAACCAGGGCATGTGCCATGTCCAGGAATCCAACCGTGACCTCCTGGTTCATGGATCGACGTTCAACCCCTGAGCCACGCCGGCCATGTGAAAACGGTTCATTATTAATGGTGTGAGTGCCAAGGCATCGCATGCGATGGGGCTTAGGAAGACAAGAGGTGCACGTATTGACTGGGTCATCAGGAAAGACGTAGGTCATAGGACGGCCACGCATGGATTTGTGAAGGAATAAGAGACGGAGTATTTTTATACACTTGATGCAAACATCACATCTTTTTATGCACAACTATTCTAACATCATTCTCCAAAAACTATAATTCCTCAAAAACACTTTTAATACATGTAACACCATAATCAAGCCTAATTTCCCAAAGGAAGATTTTTTTAATATCGAGTCAGACCGATGGGAATCTCCAAAGGGGGTCTGTGCTTTTATTTTTTTACTTCTTGGACGTAAGTGATTTTATTTATGTTAACCTATCACCAAGAGTGATAATATATCATCATGTAAATAGCATGCATGACATTTTTCTCTCTCTTATTTTGAAAGGCTTCTCAATAATTAAGATAAAAATTTTATAAAGTTATATTAAACAAAGAGTAATCTAGATGGCATTAAGCCCTTTCAAAAGAAATTCACTCTGAGGGAAATTAGGTTTTTTAGTAGAATGAGTATGACAACAGGCTAGACACATTTTTTTCACAAGCAACAGCACTTGAATTCTCTACACTGCTGTTGAAATAAATTTAAAAACATTTAACATAAAATTATAACTCATAAACCCACCTCAAAATCTCTAATATTGTTAGTCAAAGGAAAGCCTTTATTGACTTTACATTGGCCATGTGTAAAGCAGTTACCACTGACATCAATCCCTGAAAACAAAATGTTTGGCATTTTTTCTGTGGGGAGAAAACAGGACACAGAATTACGGGCAAAAGTATTATCAGGCGAACGCACTCATCTGTTGTTTTAGAATTTCACCCACCGGCTTTTTAAAGTTATGATTTGTACCTTAACCTTTCAGGCATTTTTTTGATGAGATGATAAGGCATTCCACAAAAATATTAGAGAATAAAAATATTTAAAAATCAGAGCATTTGAGATAACGTGTTTTTCTTAAATAACAGGAGAATTATATAAACCAAAATATTCCTAAAAATTCAGGGAATTCATCCTGAAATCTTAAACAAACAAACAAACAAAAAAAGCAGTTACTTGGCTGTTTCCCAAGTCCTCACGGTCACATAGCTATACAACGTAGCCTTCACTGCCACGGCTCTTCAGAGGGTGCTATGCTGGTTTTGGCAGAACAAAGAAAAAAGTCCAGGAATCTTTTAAGTTTCTTTTTTTAAAAAATGGGTCCTCAATGTCTTTTAGACATAACTTCCCAAGGTGTACTCTCGGACAAGTAGAATGATGAGTGCGTTTGGTTCCTTTGTGATTGAACAACCTCAGTAAGAAGGGCAGCCACCTCAGCCACCACCTGAGAACCACATTCCCTCAGATTATTACTCCAACTCGTCCATCAGGACCCGCCGCTAACCAGCAGCCGGTGCCTCCCTGTCCAGCAGCAGTGGCACAGCTGCAGGGGAGATGAGGCCCACGCTGCCCGGTCTGCCCCCACGCCGCCCATCTACCCGCTAGCCTACCCACTCACCTGCCCGCCCGCCTACCCGCTCACCTGCCCATTCAACCACCTGCTCACCTACCTGCTCACCTACCCGCTCACCTGCCCGCTCACCTGCCCATTCACCCACCTGCTCACCCACCCGCTCACTTACCCGCTCACCTACCCGCTCGCCCTGCCCACTCACCTGCCCACTCACCTACCCGCTCACCTGCCCACTCACCTACCCGCTCGCCCTACCCGCTCACCTACCCGCTCACCTGCCCACTCGCCCTACCCACTTGCCCTGCCCACTCACCTACCCGCTCGCCTGCCCACTCGCCTGCCCGCTCACCTACCCACTCACCTACCTGCTCACCTGCCCGCTCACCTACCCACTCACCTACCTGCTCACCTACCCACTCACCTACCCGCTTGCCCTGCCCACTCACCTACCCGCTCACCTACCCGCCCACCTGCCCGCTCACCTGCCCGCTCACCTACCTGCTCACCTACCTGCTCACTTACCCTGCTCGCCCTGCCCACTCACCTGCCTGCTCGCCGTGCCTGCTCACCTTGCCCACTCACCTACCCACTCATCTGCCCGCTCGCCCTGCCTGCTGACCCTACTTGTGTGAATGGAAACACCTGGAAGCGCCAGGAAATGGCTGCTCCCCAGGAAGGAGAGGGCCTGAGAACACGCCTGGCAAAGGGCTCTCCTCCCCTCGGCAGGCAGGTCCTGGTCCCTCCTCCCACAAGCTGGGTGCCAGGAGCCGAAGCCTCACTGAGGGGGCATTTAGGTTGTTCTCCAAGTCATGCCAGATGCCAGACATGCTCACCTGCAACCAGACAGGGACCCACGCTCCTCGAGGCCTCACACTTCATTCCAGAAACCGCCTACACTCTAACAGCGCAGCAGGCCCTCTGCCACCTCCATCGGGGGCACTGAAGAGGCAGAGAAAGGAGAAAACCTGTCCAAGCGGGAAAGCTGGGCACCAGCTTAGCTGATGCCCCTGGGAGGCCGCACCTGGACGCTCCCGGGCTAGAGCGAGGCCAGTGTCATGCCTGCTGCCCTGGGCGCAGCCAGGCCTCTGCCACTCGGATGCCACAGGCCCAGGGGCTGAGGCAGGCACACCGTGGGCCCTAGCGGCCTGGCAGCGCTAGCTAGCTCAGGGACCCACGGTCACCAGTAGGGAAACTGAGGCTTTAAGCATTGGCTTCCGATCTCACTGAATCTGGGTTCTAGTAAGTCTTCAAAACCTGCAGGCTTCACCTGTCCTGCTCTGTGACCAGTGCCCCGTGGGGACCAGGCGCCCCTGTCCTGCTCCGTGACCGGTGCCCCGTGGGGACCAGGCGCCCCTGTCCTGCTCCACGTCCAGCCTTCCTGAGTCGGCTGAAGACACAGCCCCTCGGAAAGACCCGGGTGCTCTTTACTCAGACACGGGCAGCACGCGCTGTCGGGGACGAGGGCGGTAACAGTGGGCGCCCGGTGGCGGACAGCCTGGGTGCCCACGAAAAGCACCTGGGACGTCTGCTGACGAGAAAGACCAGACACGGTGCTGCTGTGACCTCAGCGGAGACAGGCGGAGCCTCAGGGAGAGCCTGGTGCGACCTGGGCGGGACCTGCTGCCAGGGACCCTGGGGCCAGCGAGGGGGTGAGCTGCCAGGTGCAACGGCGTCTCGTGAGAACACATCCCCGAACGGATTCTCTCTGCAAACGCACATTCACCCAAGAATCGAGTCACAGTTCCGTGCTCCCCTGCGACTGAGAAGTCCGAACCTGTACAGAATCTCTGCGAGTTTATTTGAGCCAAACTGATGACAAGGCTGGGAAGCAGGATCTCAGCGGACTGGGCAAGTGCTCAGGGGCACGGCAGGTTCCATCTTCCTTCAAACATCGCCACCGGAGGGGCGGCCTGCCATCCCTGGCGGCCGGGGAGGGACACACCTCGTGTGCACGGGGGGGGGGGGGGGGGGGGGGCACAGGGCGGTAACTGACGATCAGCACCCACAGCGCGTGGAGGTGGTGAGGGGACAAGGTGGGCCCTGAGGGGTCTGGCAGAGGCCCCTCTGACCCGGCACAGGTATGCCGCCCAGGTGCGAAGGGCAGCAGGTGCTCACGCAGGTGAAGGGGACTTGGACTGAGGATTGTGCGCGAGGGACCGTCCCCTGGGTTCCTCTCGGCCCCTGGGTCTGGGAGCCACACCGGGAGCCGAGCTTGCATGCAGCTGCCTGGCCCTGGCTTTCCGGGAGGGTGTGGTCCCTGGGGCACCGCAGTGCCTACCAGTGAGGGGCGCCCGCCGGCACGGAGATGCAACAGCCACCTCCCTGGTGCCCTCTGCTGGGGGTGAGCGGAGCCCGGTCTCCCAAGGGCCGGGCTCAGGGACTCCGGGAGAGGCTGGGGACGCCCGGCCTCGGAACCCAGCCAGGCGAGTCCGCCTCACAGGCGAGGGCCTGAGCCATTCATTACACGGGGGCGATGGACGGGACCCTGGCAATGTCACACACTACGGGCGGGCGAGAGCGAGCCGGTCTGCACGCGCAGGTCTGCTGCTCCGCTGCCCTGCGCGCCTTTGGAGGCACCCTCTCCGGTCGCTGACATCGGGGCGGGTGTTTGTGGAAGAGACTGGGCGTCAGGGCTCAGATGGGACCTTCCCACAGGACTGAGCGAAGCGCAGTCTCCCGCCGAACGGAAAGGAAAACTCCGTCCTGAGCTGAGGGTCCGAACCCAGGCAGCACCCAGCTGCCCGGCCGGCCAGGTGGGTTTCTCCGCGGCTCCCCCTCCTGCTGTCACACCAGCCAGCCCTGTCACAGCTGCAGCACTTGGCTCCCGAAGGGACACAGGAACTTCACGTGCGTTCCAGCTGCTACCTCCGCTACCTGGCCAGCTGCACGGGGCGGGGCGGGCAGACGGGAGAGCCGGGCTCTCCAGGAAGCGCTCAATTAGGGAGGTGCCCATGCAACGGGGTCCTGCAGCCTCGCGTTCCCAGCGGGCTCCGCAGCCGGGCGGGAGGCAGGCAGCCAGCGGCGGGGTTTTTCCTGTTGCCGGGCTGCTGACCCCCCACAGGAAGATAACGGACCAGCCGGGGGCGGAGCAGCTCACACACATGCCTGGCTGCGCCGATCACTCATCATATAAGGAGCGGAGCCAGCGCCTGGATCTGGACACGCAGCTCTGGGCAGAGAAAGACAAGCGACTCTGATCCCGGGAACTCAGCCCAGCGAGCAGGGTCCTGGCCGGCTCAGGGACCGCTCCCGCAGGACGGGGCCGCTGGCTGCCAGGGGCGCAGCACAGGGCCGCGGATGGACCCTGAGCCCAGCGGTTGAGCCCGGCGTCCGTCCGTCCCACGCGCCCGGTGGGCTGCTGAGCGGCGGGGCCAGCGCAGACGGCAGGCATGTGGCAGCTCCTGTTCCTCACGCTGAGCTGGGACCTGGTCCCGGCCGCCGCCCACAGCCTCCACAGGAGCATGGACGGCGCGGGGCGGCGGCAGTACCAGGTGCAGCACGGCGCCTGCAGCTACACCTTCCTGCTGCCCGAGACCGACAACTGCCGCCCGCCCGCCGGCTCCTACGTGTCCAACGCGGTGCAGAGGGACGCGCCCCTCGACTACGACGACTCGGTGCAGAGGCTGCAGGTGCTGGAGGGCATCATGGAGAACAACACGCAGTGGCTGATGAAGGTAGGGCCGCGGCTCGGGGGCGGGGCGGGAGAGGGGGTCGCCGCAGTTTCCCGGGTCCTGGGGGCGTGGGTCCTGGCGAGGGAGGGTATTTGAAAGAGCCTGACTCCACAGCGAGCTCTGCGGGAGGGTCTCTGCGGAGGAGGGGCTCCGGCTGCTGCTTGTGGTTAAGCTCCAGCCCCGGAGGCCGTCCACGCTGGCAGGCGGGGCCAGGAAAGCCGTGACAATCCTGCTAATTGCTGATACATAACGGATGAGGAAAGTGCTTTACCAATTTCCTGAATTTATTTACTAAAACGGACTGGGGCTCTTGGTAAATGAGAGGAAATTCACTAATGCAGACCTCACGCTTTTCCGAGCCCTGGCTCCCCCGGGGCTGTCGCCTGTGAAGGGCGGACAGGCTGGACCCAGGCAGCCCCCTTGCCAGCGCCGCCGGCTGTGAGGGTGGCCCACGGGGGAGGCGCGGGCCGGAGCCCTGCACTTACTCCGGGACAGGGGGCCGTGTTCCCACGCAAACCCGGGCGCTATGTACACAGAACCCCGGGGGCTGCGTTCACGGGGTGTGTGCGCGGGTGACTGTCAGCCGGCGCCGCTCCGTCCTCCGCGGGAGGCTGGGGGCAGAGGACACAGGAGGGCAGAGGACACAGGAGCGCACACGCTGGCTCCATTCACAACTTCGCCCCAGAGACGCCCATCCCCGCCAGGCCTGCCTGTCACAGGAACGCTCGCTCAGGCTGCCGGATCCTAATCTCAGCCTCGATCTGGCCCTCATCTGCGTTTCTCATTAACTGGGCCTCCGGAGAGGAAGGGGCCAGGAGCCCAGGGTCGGAATGAATGGGGCGCGCGTCTCGGCTTCACAGGGAGCAAGGGCAGAGACCGTGCGGCTTCCCCTCAAAGAGCAGAAGCAGGAGCGCTGAGCGGCCTGTCCCCCCCCACCCCCCCGCCCCCGCTCCCCCGGGGTAACTTCCCTGAGAAGGTCCCTGTCTGCCCTTTTTAAATCGTCTAAAACGCACAGACATGGACACGACGACATTACACATAGAAAGCGCCCACGACAGACACCCCTGCCTCCCAGCCCCCTGCTCATGGCCCTTCTCTCTGGGACCTGCTCCCAGTCAGCACAGCAGCTCCCTGCCCCTCAGGGGCAGCGCCCACAGCCGGGGTTGGGGGCAGAATACCCTCCGTCCTGCGGCCCGTCCATCTCAGCTGAACAGTCAGGACAGGAAAGAGTGTGTGCACGCGCCCCACGCAGCCCCCCCCCCCCCCCCGACCCCGAGGCCCTGGGCAGGGCTGCTTTTCTTCTTTAGACACCCCCCCTGCCCCCGCCCGGGGGTCGTTGGGGCTCCGTTTAAAGAAGGAAAAGGACAAGGAATTCCACGTTGTGTTGTGTTGACAGCGGCATTTCTAAGCTCCTCCGAGCGGAGCTGAGCAGCCCAGGGACGATGTTGCCTCCTGGCTCTTGGCACCTGCCCGGCCGTGGGCCCCGCCCCAAGCGGCAGCCTGCACGCCCCCTGGGCCTGTGTCATGTGTCAGTGTGTGTGTGGGGGCTCCTGGTTTGGGAATAAAAGCACAAGAGCCAATACGACCCCCTGGGAAGCGAGCCGTAATCTCTCCGCGTGCTCTCCTCTGTGCTTTGTCACCTGTGACAATAAACATCGCTCTTTTCAGAAGAGAACAGAGATAACGGGTGACAGACAAGCCGCAGGATCAAAGGGTCGGCACCGCGCTCAGCGCCTCCTCACGACCATCACACAGCACCCCCGTGTTATTCGTCGTTTCCCACACTTCCTTCCTCTTGGGGCCGTTTATATATATTTTTTTGTTTCCATATTTCCTTTCTCTCCCTGACCAATGCTGAAAATGAGAGGGAGGGAGGGAGGAGGGGGGAGAGAGGGAGGGAGGGAGGGGGGGCCTTGACGCTTTCAAGAAAACCTGTCAAGGAGGAGAGTGAGACAAGTCCCTGGTGACGGGCAGATGAGCAGCCCTGCCTCTTGGGGTGGGCAGCGTCGCCCCAGGAGCTCGCACCTCGTCAGAGCTGCTGCTGCTGCGCCCCTCGAGCCGGCGGGCGGGGTCGGACTCAGGTCGGACTTGGGTGGGAGCAGCGGGGGGCCGGCGAGGCAGAATGGGCCCCGTGGGGGCGGACAGCCGCTCCGGAGGCCACACTGCCCGCGACTGCCCACACCTCTGCCCAGATGTGAGACACTTTGTAAAAACAGACAAATGACTTCGCAGAATGGCCTGTGTCTTGCTGGGAGACCAAATGTTTTCCCCAGTGAGCGGAAACAGGAACGGAAATAAACAACCACTTCACACTGATGAACACCTTACACTCGTAAACAACTGCGAGCCCATTGTGCCCAACAACAGAGCGTTTGAAAACAGCTCCTGCGAGGACCCGACGGTAAACACTTCCTGTGCTACCTCGCTGCTCTCAGGGCAGAGAGCCGGCTGGAAGCAGGCCTGCCCGCAGGTCCTCTCTCTGCCACGCGCCTGAGGGCGCGGCTAAGATGTGAGGCTGCGTGTCCCTCCACATGAGGCCACATGCAGCTTTGCTCCTAGAAACAAATTGCTGCCCGTTCCACGGGGGAGGGGACCCTGAGGCTGGGAGGCCCAAAGGCACTCGGCCACCAGCCCCTCCCCAGCCCCACCAGGGACTGTGTCATGTGTCAGTGTGTGTGTGTGTGTGTGAATGTGTGTGTGTCAGTGTGTGTGAGTGCATGTCAGTATGTGTGAATGTGTGAGTGCATGTCAGTGTGTGTGTGTATGTGTGAATGTGTGAGTGTACGTATGACTGTGTGTCAATGTGTGAGTGTGTCAGTGTGTGTGTGTATGTGTGGGTGTATGTCAGTGTGTGTGTGTGTCAGTGTGAGTGTGTGAGTGTGAGTGTGTGTCAGTGTGAGTGTGTGTGGCTGCACCCCGTCCCCGCTTGGCTCACTGATGAGAGGAGGAGCCCGTCCTGCCGTGGCCGTGCCCGCTGCGCCTGCTGGGAGGCGGCCTGGGCCTGCTCAGTGGGAAGCAAGTGCCATGCTTCCAGAGGAGCGGAGGGCCCTCTTTAAGGCGACAGAAGGGCCCGTGACTGACCATACGGCGGCTCCTGTGGCGGGGAGGACGCAACGAAAGGCGTCACCAGAAGGGCCAGTGTGGCCAAGGCACGTGCACGACAGAGCCGAGTGTGAAGGAGGGGTGCTGACTCTACGAAAGCCATGTGGGGGACACGTGCTTTCCACGGCCACGCAGCCGCTGCTCGTCACGCGGGCTGTGTGCTGCGCCGACCAGCTCTGGGGACCACACCACGGACGGGTGACCGTTGGCCTGCAGAGCCGAGAGCTGAGACGGCGGCCCGTGACTGCCTCCTGGAAACCCCACGCCCGCGGGGCCTCCTCCTGACACGTGGGAGGGGCCTGCCCACAGGCCGGAGCGAGTCGCTCAGAGGCAGGGCTCCCCTGAACGTGGAGGACGGTGTCGGAGCCACAGGCCTCATTTCAGGCCACAGAGCAGCCGCAGTTCAGCTCATTGGAGTGGAAATCCTTTCTGACCCACCTGCCAGCACCGCTCATTTACAAATCAAACCAAGAGACTACGGAAGCCACTGGCAGGCACTGAAGCTAAGCAGTCAGAGCCCTGAGACGGCAGAAAAGGCAAACCCTCCTCCCTGCTCTTCCGTCGCCTTCCTGCTTTCTCTGCATCACACGTGACCAAGGAGCGCGCTCGCCGCCAAGACGCGCCCCAGTCGCTGCTGTGACCCACGGACACACCAGAATCCCCTCTCTGGCTCGTGGAGGACGTGAGAGAGGCTGCGGGGGAGACGTTCATTAGGGGAAAGAGCAGAGGCACAGGAGGCAGGGTTAGAGGGCTGTGTGTGCGAGAGACAGACGGACACAGCTCCTCGGGAGGGAACCCATGGAGACGAGGGGCCACACTGCCCCCCGAGGGCACAGCAGACGCCGCCCTCACCCGCCGCGAACGGCTCGACACAGGCAGGCCCCGGCCGGGCACACAGGGACACGGGCCAGGGCGTCAGCGCAGCGCAGTCAGCGGAGGGGAAAGTAAACGCGGGGAGCACGCGCCCGCTCGCTGTCCGGGAGGCTGTGGCGAGGAGTGTGAGTGCATGCGGCTGGAGGCTGATTTCTGAGCGCGCTAGCGTCACTGGGCGGAAAGGTCGGGCCACCAGGTTCACTGCTTCGTCAACAGGCCAGCGAGCATTTGCGGGAGGCCCACGCGTGTCCAGCCCTGAGGGGCTGTGTACACTGATGTACACACACCCGCATCTACCGGGTCACTGGCATATTTTATCTTAAAGTAAAAAGGAAGTGAGTCTGAGAGGTTAGGGCAGGAGTGGAAGCGGCCCGCCCACATGCATCCAGGGTGTTCAGGGCACGAGGACCAGGCACAGCCGGGCACCCGAGGGCCACTGAGCGGGCAGCCTCTGTCCCCCGTGCTTCCAGGTGAGAGAGGCGACCTCACCGAGGGGCTGAGGGTGCGGGGAGAAGGCAACCGGGGCGTCTCCTGTGCAAGACGATTACATGCCTTTCCACTGGAGCTCAGAAAAGCAAAACACATTCTGTGACGACCAAGAGATCATGACCGACCGTCCCGCGGGCAGCAGCCCTTTCCCGGAGGGCGGCTGAGGGCGTCACCTGCATCTCCCAGACCATCTCCGAGCCCTGCCCTGAGCCCACGGGGATTTTAAAAACGACTCGAGGGCGTCTCCCACCGGCTGGTTTGAGCAGCCTCAGCACCAGCAGGACGCTGGTGAGCAGAGAACACACAAGCCCAATGACGACGGACCAAGAGCGCATTTCAGGGTAACGTGCAGAGCCACGCCCCGCGCCCGGGTGACGACGGCCGCGTCCGTGTGGCCTGAGAGCGGGGAGACGGGCTCCGCGCACGCCGAGCAGTGAGGCAGCGCTAGCTGTCGGCTTTAATTAGTATTTTAAGCAGATATTTCCCCTGAAATCGCCTCCCTTTCTCGTCCCGATCTGGGCGGCACCGCCAGGGTGTGA